CCCCTGCAAGCCTGGTGCTCCCTGCTTCAGGGGGAGCACGGAGAGGTCCTGTCCCTGCTCCTGATGGCTCTTCCCATGACAAGGACGCCAAATGCGTCTCCTAGCAGGAGAAGAAGCCGCCGTTCTCCTTGCGAGAGTAGCCGCTGTTGGTGGCCGCGTTGTGGGGACACTCTGTGGGGACAGGGACAGGGCGGCAGTGCCRGCCCAGCCGCACTCGTGTCCCCATGCACGGCGGGTGCAGCCCTGTCACCCACGCCACTGCTCACAGCTCTCTCCCTAYGTCACTGGTGCCACATGTGTCCCCACACTGCACCCAAAGGAGCCGTGTCCCCAAGCCCACATGGTCCCAAACGTGTCCCCATGGTCCAAGCTGTGTCCCTGTGGTCCCAGCCATGTCCCCACACCACAGCCATTGCCACATCCCCGTGGGCCCAGCCATGTCTGTGTCCCSATGGACTCAACCATGTCCCTGTGCCCGCAAGGTCCCATCCTTGGCCCTGAGGTCCCAGCCAGGTTGCTGTGGACTCAAAGAGATGCCCACGGGCCCAGCTATATCCTTAGGGTCCCAGTTATGTCCCCATGAGCTCTGCTGTGTCCCCATGACCCCAGCTGTATCATTAGGGTCCCAACCATGTCCCCATGGGCCCAGCCGTGTCCCCATGGGCCCAGTTGTATCCGTAGGGTCCCGGCCATGTCCCCATGGTCCCTGCTGTGTCCCCATGGGCCCAGCCATGACCTCATGATCCCAGCCGTGTCCCTAAGGTCCCAGCCATGTCCCCATGGTCCCAGCTGTATCCCTAGTGTTCCAGCCATATTCCCCTGGGCCCAGCCTTGTCCCCATGGGCTCGGCCATGTCCCCTTGGACCCAGCTGTATCCCAAGTGTTCCAGCCGTGTCCCCATGGGCCCAGGCATGTCCCCATGGTCCCAACTGTATCCCTAGGGTCCCAGCCATGTCCCCATGGGCCACCTGTATCCCCTAAGGTCCCAGCTGTGTCCCCATGTGCTCAGCCATGTCCCAGTGGTCCCAGCCATGTCCCCAAGGTCCCGGACATGTCCCCATGGTCCCAGCTGTATCCCTAGTTTTCCAGCTGTGTCCCCATGGGCTCAGTTGTGTCCCCATGGGCTCTGCCATGTCCCCTTGGACCCAGCTGTATCCCTAGGGTCCCAGCCATGTCCCCATGGGCYGCCTGTATCCCTAGGGTCCCAGCTGCATCCCTAGGRTCCCAGCTGTGTCCCCATGTGCTCAGCTATGTCCCCATGGTCCCAGCTGTGTCCCAAGGTCCCAGCCGTGTCCCCATGGGCCACCTGTATCCCTAGGGTCCCAGCTGTGTCCCCAAGGTCCCAGCTGTGTCCCCAAAGTCCCGGCCATGCCCCGCACCCCCCCGCACCCCTACCGATGGCGCCCTGGATGCTGTGCACGGAGGCCTTGGTGGGGCTGACCCAGCACCGCGCCGGGGGCCGCCCGGGGGGCTGCGCGGCCGGGGGGGCCCCGTGCGCCGGATCCCTGCGGTGACACCGGGGCTGAGTGACCTGGGGGGACAGGGACGCGGCGGGGGGACACGGCGGGGGCGGCACTCACGGGGGGGGCGGCGCGGGGGCGACGCGGGCCTTGGCGGCGCTGCAGCGCGTGGCGGCCGCGTGCAGGCGGCTCCAGGGCCCCCCCGGCCGCGCCTGAGCACGGCACGCTCGTCACACGAGTGGCCGGGCGCGGGGCCGGGGC